TAGTTTTTTTTTTTTTTTTTTTTTTTTTGAGGGGGTGGGGATGGGGTTGCGCCGCCCTATCGGGCTTCCCAAATCCTGAACCCCCCTCCCCACTAGCCGCCATGCGGCAACAAAGTCGCACGTCCGCGGCCGACCTCATCCGCGCCGTGGACGTGAATTTACCATATTTTTCCTGAATTTAACAATGGCTAAAAAAAAAAAAAAAAAGGGGTTGTGGGGGTTTTTAATCCCTACAACCCCATTTTGTTTTTTTGGAAACAAATAAGTTTTTTTAACTAAAAAAAATAAAAAACAGAAAAGGCGGAGAAGAGAAATTGAAAAATAAAGTTTAAAAAAAAGTTTTTTTTGGGGGGGGGGGATTTTTTGTTGGCAGTTCTTAGTATTCTTCGTTCTAACTTTTTTTTTGTTTTGGTCCTAAATTTTATCGATTCGATAGGTTGAATGATTGATTGATTGATTGATTTGATTGATTAATTGATTGATTAATTGATTGTTTGATTGATTGATTGATTGATTGACTATGTGTGTGTGTGTGTGTGTGTGTGTGTGTGTGTGTGTGTGTGTGTGTGTGTGTGTGTGCAGGTGCGTGTGTGAGGGAGAGAGAGAGAGAAAGTGGAGAGAGAGAGGGGAGAGAGAGAGAGAGAGAGCAGAGAGAGAGAGAGAGAGTATGTGTGTGTGTGTGCGTGTGCGTGTGTGTGTGTGCGTGTGTGTGTGTGTGTGTGTGTGTGTGTGTGTGTGTGTGTATGTGTGTGTGTGCATGCACGTGTGTGTGTGTGTGTGTGTGTGTGCGCGCGCCTGCCAGTGTGACTGGGGGAGGGAAGGGAGGACCCCTCTCCCACCAATCAATCAATCAATCAATCAATCAAAAAAACTATCAAGCATTCTTTTTTTTTTTTTTCTATTTATTTAATTTTTTGGTCAAATACCAAACAACACTCCCCCAATTTTTTTTTATTTTTTTTTTTAATGAACAGGGCCATAGAGGCCGACGTGCGACGGCGGCGCGCTCGCTAATTCAAGATGTCACATGTTCGGCGGTGGGCGACCAGGACACAAAGTGGGTTGTTAGGGGGCAAAACAATTTGGGGGACCGGTCGTTAGTGAAATTGCGGACTACCTACAGCTACCTCTGGTAGAACCGGGACTTTTGGAAAAAGGAAGGACCGGTCCTCGGGTGGAAGCGGACCCCAAAAAGAAGTGGGGGGCGTTGTGCGGGGCGTTTGACTGGTCCTCGGGTGAAAGTCGACCCCGAAAAGAAGTGAGGTTATGTGAACTGCAAAAATTCCCTCAGGGTCTCAGTCCCAGGCCTTGAGGCCTGTCTTCTAAAAACAGGGAGGTCAGGCGCAATGAAACAAACATTTTGCAAAAGGCGACTTTGGTGATTTTCTGTAGTCGGAGGAACCCGCAAAGAAATCTGAAWTTTTTAGAATTTATAGAAGAGGTCGTGTTCTTTCGAGGAAAAATATTATAGCATTTTCAAAAAATCAGTTAATGCTTGAAATAATCGTCACGCCGATTCGACAATTTTTCCATTTTTTTGCCACTCAGCCATGTGTGGGCAAGTTGAAAAAGTACTCAAAAATTCCAAATTCGGTGAGTTTTCGTGCTTAGAAGAATGCGTGAAAAAATCTGAAAATTGGAGTACTAGTAGATTTTGTTGTGATCTTTCGAGGAAAAAAAAATTATTAAAAAAATCATTCCAACTGTGAAATAGATCGCGGCTGTAATTGGACCCATAATTCAATTTTGTCATTCATCCTCTCTCTCTCTCTCTCTCTCTCTCTCTCTCTCTCTCTCTCTCTCTCTCTCTCTCTCTCTCTTTAAAATAGCCGCCCCCCCATCCCTCTCTCTCTATCTCTCTTTCTTTCGCTCTCACTCTCTGTCTCTCTCGCATACTCGTACCAATAAATGGAACAAAACTCTCTATCTCTCTTTCTTTCTCTCTCACTCATATCAACAAATAGAACAAACTTTCTCTCTGTCTCTCTGTCTCTCTGTCTCTGTCTCTGTCTCTGTCTCTGTCTCTCTCTCTCTCTCTCTCTCTCTCTCTCTCTCTCTCTCTCTCTCTCTCTCTCTCTCTCTCTC